GAGAGAGAGAGAGAGAGAGAGAGAGAGATTGCATTCCTTCCAGCATAATTTCAACCCCAAACAAATGTGTACACATTAGATGCACCCAATTTTATCTTTAAACAATTTAAATGAAAGTTCCATATGCTGGAGTTGAAGTTAATCTCCTAAGTTGATTAAAACAACAAATTTTCTATTAACTCTACTACTAGGGTTTATTGAATTAATAGGATAGATTGATTCCGTCCTTGGGCTTCTTAAATCATCAAAGGCATATGTAAACTCTTGAGTCAAAGTGACAGTTGCCTCGGCCCTTGGGCTTATGAGCTAAGACTGTTAGCTTTAAGTTTGTCAAACTAGAACTTTGTATGCGATTTTGATAGTTTAGGCTTGTTGGGCTCAAATTTTATGAGTTGGCTCAACTATTAAATAATGATAAATAAGTGGGTAAATTTAATCCTTCATATTATGAGCCTAGAAAACTTTCAATTCTCCTTTAGATAATTGAAAAGGTAAGAAGGTGACAATTTGGTCTTTGAACTTATTAAACTATTAAATGTGCACACTTACTCGGCTACTTAATCTTATTGAATTGGGCATGGGAACTCGACCGGTAAGTTGTGACTTGAGAATATTAATTTGGCCTTGAGCTTGGTGAACTAGGTGAGGGGAAAGTTTAGACCTTGGGCTTGCTGAACCATTTTAGGTTGTGGCAAATCAATTGCTAAAGCTTACTAAACTGACATGATAGCTTGTCTCTTAGGCTTATGAGCTAGGATGATTGACAATTTTTAGGCCTGAGCAAGTTAAAATAGATTTGACATTCAATTGTGATGATTGGACTTTTCAAGCATGAAACTTGCATAATACCTTGGCTTTTAGAGCTTCTTGTTAAATCAATGAAATAGCTTGCCCATTAGGAAAGTGAAATGAGTGGTTTCACTGGCTCAAACTAATTAGCTTGTTCAATAGGGACTTTATGCTCAAAATTGATCGTTTAAATTTGTTTAGCTTAGAGTATCAAGGTTGAGTAGCTACTAGAGCTTCTTGAATCAACAAAATAGCTCAACTGTTAGGATTATTAGTTAAGCATTTTTACCTCACCCTTAAGGCATATTAAATTAAGAATTTACATTCAAGTTGCATGATGACTCATCTTATAAATCTTACTATATCAGCGAGAAGAACACGAACAATAGATTTGTCAATTAAGAATGATTTTCAGCATCATGGACAGTTCTATTTAGTTGTAAATATGAGCTGCCAATTTGCTTTTGGGGTTCCATCCGTGAAGCTCAATTGAATTGATTTGAGGTCAATTCATATTAAAGTGACCCACGACGATAAGATAATTTCAATAGATTGTCCAAAATTTACCCTGTATGTATATAAGATGATCATAATTTAATCAAATTTGAACTTTAGCGCTAACTGGATTAAATTTTTGCATAACATACTCCTTGGGGTATTGTACTTGACCATATTCAACTAAATATGGTTAATCATTGCCAGGTAAAGTTTCAAAGTCTCAAAAGCGATAACTGCTTTGCCTTCTGGTTGATTAGATCTTCAATTTATGTTGATGACCACCACAGCCTCCAAGCAATCAGTCAATGGTTCCTCTTATGACGATTATGGTCCACTTCCTAAACCAATTGTAACTCTACTCAAAAGGAGTAGCTCGAGAATTACTTGCTTTGATTGTCAGATTAGCCGATCTCAAGTCTTTCTTGACGGAGTAGTTGTCATATCGTGCCATCACTAATAGGCTTAGTCTAACCAAATAGTACTTCTCATCATGCTACACATTTCATAGGGAGAACACGTAGCTTATTAACTCATGGCCTCTAATAAGTAAAATTGGTTTGATGAAGTAAAAAAAAAGGTTGTGTTTCATAAGTGAGTTGAAGTTGACAGGGATGTATAACGACACAATAACATTAGAAATAGTTATGGTTTATTCAAAGAATTTTCAATCACATTAAGAAATCAATCGTCCAATAAAATCACTATTGGGCCCCTTGACAAATGCTATTTGTATATCACATAACTGCAGTAAAGTTTAGAATAATGGAATAATTCTTTAGGTGAAGGGGAGTTAGAATGCCTATAAGAATGATCAAACTCATTATGTCAAATTGCAATGGCTGTGAATCTAATAAATATTAATCGGCCTAAGAATTAATCGATTTAAGAAAAGTAGAATAAAAATGAATATATAACTTGCTGAACTAATTTTCACAATTGAAATAAAGAAATGCCTCAAGTTCAGTTCAAAAATAAAAATAATGTCCTTAGGCATTTTGTTTGGCATGATGTCGCAACATGTTTCTCAATAAGACAAACTTGCTCAGTCACAAGCTGACAAAGCATCTATCACCAAGGATGATAAATAGCTCAGTCTGAGCGAGTTTAGCTTGACTAGAACTTGGAAATATCAACTTGAGCCCAACTCAAATTCAACTTAAAATCAATTTAATTTTGCATTCAGTTAGCTCACCTAAAATTCACTCTAGTGAACTCATTTAAATTCATATTGACTAGACAAATATATAAGATTTTTGATTGAGCCTAGAACAAACCCCTTACATGGAAGATAAAACAAATTCATGATATTTGAATGATAATAAAAATATATAATATACACTTTTGAGATGAATTAAATCAAATCTTAAACACTCCATTGCAAATAAAAAAATTCTGCTCATATTTAGAAATTCTATAATGTCCAACACATAATCTTGAATAGAAAGGGAAATGAAAGCAAAACTGCAAGAGAAATGCTCACAAGTGATTGTATATTGCAATTAATAATATTTTCATCAAATAAGCTTTTCAACTTATCAATCCTTTTTTGGGCTATGATTTGGGTAGCGTTGCATCACTCAAAATAGGTTTGACTCAAGTATATTAGCTTCAAACTCGATTGAGTAAATTTTAACTCAAAAAAAAAAAAAACAAAGAGTGCTTCTATATTTTTATTATGTCGATTGAGTAAATTTTAACTCAAAAAAAAAAAAAAGAGTGCTTCTATATTTTTATTATATTCATCTACCATACCTAATATTACGTTTGATCATGAAAGAAAGCAATTCATCGACAATAAATTTAAATGGGTGATTCATGCATCGATAAGGCTAGTGTTCCATTACCCCATGCATATTGCTCAAATAAACATGCAATAAAAAAAAGGGTTTGCTATAATAAATAGAGGACATAAGATGCCATCACTTATCTAGGGTTGTCTACGATCCAATTTCGAACGGGGTCGGCTCAAAATCGGCATGAAAAAAAATTCGATCCAATATTTAGGCTCATAGCTCGGCTCTTATTTCAATTTGATCTCGAAAATTCGAATCAATTTTTGAGCGATCAACAATCTTCAAGCCAAATTCGCTAAATTCATAACCCTAACATCACTAGAATTGTTAACGATATGATTTCGAGCAGGATCGACTCGAAAAAAATTTAGTCCAAAATTTTGATTCATAGTTCGGCTCGTTTATTTTGATTTGATCTCGATAAGAGCCAACATACGAATCAACTTTTGAGCGATTAATGAGTTTCGAGTAAATTCACATCCCCACACTTAACACAAAAAGAGGGTTGAAGTGAAAGAAGTACATGAGAAAAGATAGTAAAAGTGCAATTCGACCACTTGGCACAAAAACTAAAAACACAAGCTGAGAAAAGATAAAATCAAAACTATATAGCCAATGATCTAATGCATGGTACATTGACAAAATATATTTTCTGATAAGTTCACACGAGCCAAAGCATACACAGATTAAATTTAAAATGGTTCAAAAAAAAGTTAAAGGGTTTCATCCCATTGAAAACAAAGCACAAAAACAAAACATCTCATGTAGCTCATGTAACAAATGCAGGTCTCAAATTTTCACACAGAAAGAACCCTTTACAATTAAAGTAAGATCTGAATAAGCTCTGGCAAATTTAGCAAATTAATAGATGACGGCAAAAGGAAAGAAAAAAATACTAGTCAATGTATTAATTCAAAGCAATTAGAAATGCAGTTATGATTCTTCATAGAATTATGCATAAAATATCAGCTTAAAGGTAGTGCACCTAAAAAAACATACCCTCGTTGAATCTTGTATGGCCAATGGATAGGAATTAAGATCATCTTTAGAAGAAATAATGAGACAAGGAACCTCAAATCCGGTATTTTCACCATGAGTTGCTATTTGAATAAGCAATTCGGTGGCCTTATTAAAAGAGCTGGCATCAGAACTGTGAGAGTAGGAAAAGTAATAATTTGAAGATATAGTAATCCAAACGATGGGGAATCATATACAGTTACATAGAAAAGTAAATGAACTACTGAGAAGTTAAAAAATTCAGGAATAACCATAGCCCAGCATTCGTTACTTTTCTGATAAAACCAAAGTAGTTTTTCCAACAGTCGATATTTTTTCAAGCTTGGGTTGAACTTAAAAGAGAAGGTATATGCTTCATGCAGAACATGAAATAACTAAACTAAATCTAAAATACAACCGTGATGAGGATTATTCATCATAGCAATCAAAGAGAACAAAAAATATAAAAAAAGCCCAACATCCAAATAATAAATTCTTAAAATAAACGATGATGTAAAAATGTTTTACATCAATATGTTTAAGCATTAGCTACAAAAAAAAAATAATAATAATTAACGTTTCTTATTTAAAAAGAGAACTACAAAAGAATTAGCAGTATGAAAACACTACTGCTACAAATAAAGGTTAGTTTTTCTATTCTTATATTACACCCTTATGCAGTAAAGGGGCATTGTAAAAATAACGTTGCATGGTAGAGCATCTAATGCTGCAGTAATAAAAGGTATCAAGTAAAATAACTTAGAAAGAAAGTAAATAAAATTGCAAAAACTTAGACACAGAACTTTCAACCAAAATAGCAAATATGCTAACCGTCAAAAAATTCAATGGAATTGAAAAATCAGGATTTTAACTTCGAATGTGATTTAATGAACATTTTTCCCCTGCCTGCATTTTCTGGACAAAGTTTTCTTCTTACAACGGAAAAAAAAAAAAAAAGAGCAAATGATTGGAAGGACAGTCAGTGTCTCACTCAAGAAACCCAAAAATTAAGTCCACATTATAAATATACACAAATATTTCATTCAAATCAATACTAGAGAATTTTCCATCACAAGAAAAATTCACATAAATATAGGCCTAGTCCCAGATCAAAATCACCACCAATACTTTACTTGAAGCACTCAAAATTCTAACTATAATAAAATAACATTCAAATCAATACTAGAGAATTTTCCATCACAAGCAAAATTCACATAAATATAGGCCTAATCCCAGATCAAAATCACCATCAATACTTTACTTAAAGCACTCAAAATTCTAACTATAATAAAATAGATGCCATAGTCACAAATATTGCAACCTGAAATTAGAATAATGAACCACTTCATGATATTTAGAGTCCCTTTCCTACATCTTAAAAAGCATTCACACATTATAAATAATGACCATTTTTGGATTCATTACAATTTCATATTTATTTCAAATAACAAATACTAATGTTTTAAAACGTGTTGGACTGGATAAGTTTTGTTTCCTTTCCATAGGATGCTTTCAGAATTTATAAAAACACAGATTCAAGTGTTTTCATTTATTTGAAGTAACATTTTCTTTCTACTTTTCCATGATACGCATCTGGCCACCATCCTTTCTGTTTGAACCTATCTGCAACATAATAAGCCCATCAATACACAGCTCTTAACCATCAAGCCTCACCGCAAATCCCTAAAATCAACACTTCACTGTAAATTACTTTGATCAACATCTCACTTCACAATGGATCGCTGTCAATAGCTGAGCCTCGAGAATTAATTCACTTTCTGAAGATCACCCTAAACCACCCAGATCTCAGGTCCTTGCAGAAGTCTCCACATCTCTGCTGTTGATATAATACAAATCACCTGTTACTATCACCATCCCCTCCAAACTCTCTACATCATCTTTCCTACACTTTTTTTGGAGCTTTTCTTTTCTTATTTGCTATTGATCTGAAAGCAGACAGCTTTGCTGTATGGTTTTGCGACTGCATTTACAAGGACTACCATAAATAAATTTTTAATGATCTATAATTGAAAGCATTAAAGTATTACTTTCCAAAACTTTTTTTTTTTTTTTTTGCCCAGGATCTCTCAATCTGACTTGTTTAGTTTAAAAGAGGCAATTAGACTAGGAATGAGATTTGGGATTAGATTTGTTCTGATACATGTAAAGATCTTTTTTTTTTATATAATTAGTATAGAATGTAATTTCTTGATCTTCAAAAGTGGATTACAAATAGAAATGATTAAATTGATGGTACGTATGCTTGTAGTTGATTTGTTGTTATTAGATGTTGCACTATCAATTTTGTAAGTGTCGTAGGAAACAAGGAAATTTTTTTCTGCATAATTTGCCTCTCTTCTTAGCCATAAAATTTTATAATATTGACAAAACAATGACATATTGGTGTTGTTTAGCATTTGAGAGTGAACACCATGTAGTTGAGAAAAGAATAAATAATTATTTATTCAGCTTATGGAAATAGGGTCACTAATAGAAATAAAATAACAACTTTTGGCATTACATCATGGTTGTGATTAGACATGAAAGTGGCATATAGAGAAAGTATAAGGTGTTTTTGTTTATAATTTCTTTTAGTTACAAAACATTGATATTATTATATAATCAAACAAAACTTTTTATTAACAATATATAGGCCTATAAAATGCAAGATGTTTTACAATAAAGGGAGTCCAATGTATGACTCTTATCACGTATTTTTGGTGACACAAGGGTCACAAAAAAATTCACCATCCATCTACTAAAGTTCCATCAGATACTACAGAAGAGAGCTGTAAACGAGTTAAGCCGGAAAGACGAGCTAGAGGAGATAGAAAGCAATAAGTCAATTTCAGTTAGTAAATTATCTGGATCAAATAAAATTATAAATAAATAAGGTAACATGCATTTCAATATTATTTCCAATGTTCTACAAGTCTTGAGTGAGAGCTAAAAAAAGTAGGCCCAATTTATAACTTTTCCTTAAACAATCTGAATGTTAAATTTCAATTTTAACAAAAAATATTTACTTTACATAAGAAAAAAAAAATCATGTCATAAAAGTACCTGTCATGGACAAAAACAGCGATGTCACAAGCTGCTAATGATTCCTTATTAGAAAGTAGCTTCTTGACTGAATCTTCGGGTATTTCTCTCATTACAAGAGTCTTCTTAATCCCCTTGTTTTAGGAAACAAGTTATTACAAGAAAGAATAAATGTCAAAACAAAATAAAATAATTCTGAAGTTAAAGGAATAGGATCATGATGCTAAAAAACAGCTCGGTGATAATGCATCACCGAGTGCTATCCAGCAATCCCGTGCTATCCAGCAATCCTTTCCATAGTACATAACAACAGCACGCATTTCATGTAATAGAACGCCTATGAATTAGTCATAAACCAAGCATTAGGATAACCACTAAAACGATTAATATGAGCATATTGTTAATAGAAGCAAAAACGACATGCTGCCACAACATCCATAACTTTGGTTTTGTGGTCAGGGTTAAAATGGTTAATTTTTAATCTTTAACATCAGCTTTAAATAGGGCACTTGCTTAATCCATGTACGACCCTTTCTATAACTAATGAATTAAGAAATCTCACAACTAATATCAAAAATACAAGTTATGAATTTTAATGAAAACTTTGATCAAAATATTTTCAATTAAAAAAAAATTAACTCAACAATATTATCAACTAATGAATAATGGCATGGACAAAGCAGTCTATAGGACAGCAGAAAAATGGTTTTTCCGATTTATAAAATAAAGTTTTCCATATTAAAACGGTCACATAAAGAGGATTGTATTTTTACCTAAAGAAAAATGACCTAATGCTATCTGCCGTTGAGCAAAAAAACAAAAACAACGTAGAAAGCAAGAAAAGTATGGGAAATCTATCCAAGTTAATCGAGCTAATGACACATATAAAAGACCAAAATACTTTCAAATATCTGAATTTATTGGTTGCTCTTTCATGCTTTAAACAAAGAATGTGCAATGGATAAGTTTTACAGGCAGAATAACTGGTAGTTTCAATTTGATATGATTGGACTGGTTGACCCGGTGAAATAGACCAAGGCCGATAGGGCTTTGTTACAAATAGGACGTGCAGGTTAATCAGGACAAACTTGGGTACCCAGCACGTTTCAGTTGAACTAGACAAGCCAACATGCCATATAGCCCATACTGAATCTTAAATAGGTTGAGGATATACATTGTAGAAGTAGGATGGGAGGATCAAACTAGACCCCTTGAGTTTAGAAGTAGGATGGGGGGATCAAACTAGAGCCCTTGAGTCTTTATTATCACATTATAATCCATCACATGAAACATATCTCTAATAATGCCTCAACAATTATATTAACAGACACAAAGTTGAACCTTCTACAATTGTATATGCTCAAAATTTTGCACGTTAGCTTCTAACCATGATATGATAAAAAAAAAGAAGAAAGGCAATTTAAGACGTTTATAGCAAGAAAAACAATGCACAGTCATTGTGTTGAGATTTTTCAATGCTTTAAGAAATTTTTTATACAAATAAACATAATTCCAGCACACCTTGAAAAAAAAAACGCTTAACTAAAACATATATGTCATTGTTAAGTTGCAAAAACACATCATCAAGAGCATGTGCAGCATTCTAAGAAACAAAGTACAGATATGATTTCAGTTTGGACAATATCCAAATAAAAAAATATTAAAAAATCAACTTACTCCAGGAAGTTCCACCACGTTTGCTGCAAACCGATCACTGGTAGTGGGGGTATGCTTCTCAGAAAATGTCCTAAACATATCAAACATAAGCAAAACAAAAATAAAAAACTCTATATGTGACTTAGATTACAAAAAAAATAAAAAGAAAAATCATCTCCATGCCCACCTTCCAATTAATGAATTTAACAATGCAGATTTTCCAGCATTCTTTGGGCCAAAAACAAAGCACTGTAGAACATTACGCTGGGACTGTTGTTTTTTACGATCTTGGCGCCTCCGTCGGGTAATACGAAACGCTAAAGCAGGATCACTTGTGTATCCAATGTATATAAGGTTAGCCAAACTAGCTACTGGGTCAAGCAGTGTCATTAGCGCCCACTACAAAAACAAACAAAAAGAAAAAAAAAAGAAAATTATGAAACAATCGACAAACAACTTTTGTTGTTCTTTTATTAGTGAAGTAAAAAAAAAGGTACAAAAGATTGTGCGCCACATGCTAGACTTAAGAAATAGAAGTTGAATAACTACGATCTAACCAAAAAAAAAAAACTTTACCAAACAAAAACAGGTTCCCCCAGAAGTTGAATAACTACGATCTAACCAAAAAAAAAACAGGTTCCCCTAATGACAAAAACTGCAAAATAATTAGGAAAATTGATAAAGCTTACAATTGATGAATGGATGCAAACAATGGAAGGGAAAAAAACCTTTGAACTACATACAAAAATGCAAAGACTGTTATGCTTGAGCTAAAAAGTTCATGAATAAATTCATCAATCAAGATTGATGAAGTGGGATCAGAAGTTATGCAAGCAAGAACAATATGGTTATCAAGAAATATTCACTCCTTCAATATAAATCATGCAAATAGGCTGATCATTACCTTTTAAGAACTAAAACAACGAAACTCTTAATAAAAAAATTATTCCTTGCTCATTTGCAAAATATAAAATATTAAAATAGCCTAAAATGAGCAAAAGGTTCCACAAAATGTCAGACAAATTCTGAGGGAAGCTTTTTCTAGGCACCAGCATAAAGCCTACATTAACACTATGGTTATTTCTCCCATTTATCTCTCTTTTTTTCTGTTATTTGTTTTCCTATGCGATTGAGATTTGCTCAAAGATGCTACAATCAAGTTTCACGCAGTGTGAATCCTAATCATCATATGGTTTTATTCCGTCCTTCATGTTTCTTGTAAATTTAATATTTTATGATCTTCAAATTATTTTTATGAGCAAATTTTTATGTGTCGTTTGATTTTGCATAAAAGAAATAAAATTTTCAAGTGGTGTGTAAATTCTGACCTTCGGCATGCTTCTTTGAGCATATTATCCTAGATCCTAAAATGTCAGCCTAATTGATATCAAAAGTTATGGTTGCATAATGTTAACTAGAAGTAAGGCATTAATCGAGTCAACCAACAAAATCATGTGATTTAAACGGGCTTGAATAGGTTATGACTCTTGGCAAAGACACTGCAATTACTTTAACATTCAAAATTACATTCTTACATTCAATGGGAGGTATAGCCTTGAGGAAATTTCAAAGTGGATCGATAAATTGAAATACATTCTTTAACATGATCATATAATTGATTTTAAATAATGGACTGCTAGCACAAAATAGTGGAATATGCTCAATCTTCAGAAATTTTCATCATGGATTGATATTTTTTATTTCATTTTTGAATAATACCATTTATCTGTTTATGAAAGGGTGAAATTTTCCAACGCAAAATTAGTGGGTGGGGCGTACTCAATCATATTATCTTGAGGAATTTTCAAATTGAATCGATAATTTGAAATACAATCTTGAACATGACCATATAACTGATTTCAAAATAATGGAAACAGCTAGCACAAATTAGTGGAATATGCTCAATCTTAAGAAAATTTCAAAATTGATTGATACTTATTATTAGATTTTTTAATAATAACATTTATTTGTTTATGAATGAGTGTAATTTGCTAACACAATTTTAGTAGGCGAGGTGTACTCGATCGTATTATTGTAGTGTTGCAAATGAAATAAACGACATATGGTGACATGAAACACGACAATTTTTGTCACTTAAGAGATATAGAGTGATAAATTGCAGGGTCAGTTAAAAATTCAAAAACAAAGTGATTCTTAAGTGTTTGAATATTGCAGGAAGTTCATGAATTTGATAACTAAGCACTATTGACCTCAGAACCATTACGTTATCACTAAATATTTTATTAAAGGTTTTAACTAATAACTTAAAAATGAATTAAGTGCAATCCTCTAAAAACATTATGTGATGATTCATCCAGATCCTCTAAATGCAATTAAAGTCCCAAACGAGAACTCGTTACCATACCCTCTGAAACCCAACAAATATACACCCACAAAGAAAATCATGAATAATAAATTCTAATCTTATAAAAAAAATAGCAATTCATGAATATTACTTTTGAAGATGTTTCAAATATAGTAGATACTTTGCTGTTACAATATGAATCTACATTTGATAACGTTGAATCAGAATCTACACCTATATTTGAACTAAACTTAAAGAGTCAAAATCCAAATTTGAAATTGGATTTTATCTAAAAGTGATCCTTCAATCATAACAAAATTACTATTATAATTTCAATTAAGTCATGAATATGAAAATTACATCTACTCTTACATATGAACCAAAATGTCTAATCAAAATTGAATATATCCCTAAAGGAAAAAGTGAACAAATCATACATATTGTAGTCGATGAATCAATCAATGTTACGAATTGTGCTAATTCAGGCCCACCTCTATATTTTTTCCTCAAGAACTACTAAGGTTTACACCTCCTTGGGATAGTGTGAAGCATACAAAATTCCAAGTTAGGAATTTTTTAAGTCAAATAAATTATAAACTCCCCTTGACCCTCGAATCTACACATGCCTCTTCACACTTGACGGAAAAAAGCTTGCCTTCTCATTAGCCAGCATCAACACCGCCTGCCTACTTTGTAGTTGCCATTACCACCTCTGCTTGCCAAAATCTCTTCTTCTACAAAAAAACTCATCTTGCTCCACATCTCTTTTTCTCCAAAGACAATCTATAAACCCTAATTTCATCTTCTTCTCTTCAATTTGTAAATTTAGAGTTTTTATCATTTAAACATTAATATGTTTCAAAAATTTTTAATCAAAATTTTCATTTTAGGGCTTTAAAGAAATGTTTAAAGGAAGCAATAAAATCTAAACAGACCCAGCAAGGAAGGATAGCGTGCAAATTAATATTAAAGGGAATGGCACAGCATGCTTGCCTGAAGTGCAATTATTGCAAAAAAAAAAAAAAATACTAAAATGTACATTACAAGAATAAAAAAGCACATTTCTTTCATCAAAAGAATGATGCACCGTAAATGTCAAGGTTCTTGAGGTGATCAAGAAGGATATTTGTGTGTATATGAAGGCACAACAATGTCAAAGTATTAAGTGAAACAAAAGTTCATCAATAGAATAGATGTTGATTCTTATTGTGAAAGCAAGCCTGAGGTAAAGATTTCTCAACGTCTTTGTCACTTCTTATATAAAATAAGAAGTGATTCTTCCAATTTTAATTCTATTCTATTCAATTTTAATTGAATGGTAAACTGAGTTTGGTGATGACAGTCCAGAGCAACAATAATTTATTGTTAAAATAGTGGGACTTAGATGTTCGCCTTTTGCTTGTGAACAAATTAGAGCATAGACAATCAAATTCATGCAAAAATGAGACATCATTTATATGCCTTAAAGATGGACATTTATGGTTCATATCATATATACTAAAAGAGACTAAAATATAAAAATTTAAACAAAAAAATAGGTTTTCAAGGATAATGAGAACCTCTAGCTTTGCAATGGCATGTATCACATAACAAATTATTTGTTGATGATAATAATGAAGCAACAGTATCTAATTTGCAAAAAAAAAAAAAAAAAGATCTCAATGCTGATTTCTGTGACGGAATGAAAAAAAGATAAAAAATATGAAGCAACAGTATCTAATTTGCAAAAAAAAAAAACAAAAAAAAAAAAGATCTCAATGTTGATTTCTGTGATGGAATGAAAAAAAGATAAAAAACATCCAGACGAACTGACAAAAAACAAATAGAAAATGTATCCATGAAAATTTACATCATTGAAGTTCTAATAATCAACATAATCATTATTTTAAAAGTTAATTAATAGTTTTATTGACTATTATTGATAAGGGAAAAGAAAAATGGTTGAAATTGACAAATAGAAGGAATAGATATATATAATAAGGATATTACTGAGAATGAGGTGGGCAAGAAAGCTCTTTGTTATGCTGTTGTCTGTAATAAAGACCCATTGGGTGATGAGAGTGATGAGAACTTTTGAATTTAAAAATTCTAATCAATGATGGCTTGTTATATTCTTACATAAGTGAAGAACGGTATGAGTGAGATAAAGAGACTGCTATTGAACTTATTTTGATTTGTTATGTTATTATATCTTAATATTTTACTTTGATATCATAATTTATTTTGATAGTTTGATATTTCTATAATCTATCTTACTTCATGATTTAATATTAGGATATTAACATGTTGCTATTTTACCTTAACATAATTTATTACTTCTTATTAATTAAAGATGTCGATATGTTACTTCTTAATGTTTTAATAAATTACTTCTTATTTGATATTTGAACATAATACAATATTTATTTATTCAAGCAATTTTTTGAATTAAAGACTCATGCCTCTATGCTTGTGGCTCATTCGCGGGCAACAAAATCTCAAAAATGCAATTGTGTTATTTTAAACATTAAAATCAACTAAACAAGTTTATTTGAACCCAATTGGTGTTCCTTAAAAAAAATTTCTAAAAACCAAAATAATGATTTTATTATTGGTTATAGGTTTCATAACCCACAAAATCATAAGGAGAATGCTAAGAAAGAAATAAATTGCGTGTCAACATGTCAATGAGTTTATTAATACAAATATTTCAAAGAAACCAAAGTTTAAAAATTCAGTAATCTGTCAGAACTAACACTGCAAAATAATCACAAAATTAAGCCAATTGTTAATTTTCTTTGAAATAATTTGTTCATATAACACATAATAAGATTTATCAGTTTTAAATTTTCTTTTATCTTTTTCTCAAGAAATTAACAATGGATCTTTTTTAATTTGTCTTATAATTTATATCAATAGTTTTGTATACTTACATTGCTTATTCATATCATTTGTAAGATTGGCAAAAAAATATTCGTAAAAATTGGCTATTAATTATGGCAATTAAAAATTTATTGTTGATGTAAATAAGAAGATGAAATTGAAGGATGCTACAAACGGAACTTGTAGTTCTAAACTAAATTATGGGATTTTGTACAACCTATTTTGGGCCTTTTTATAATTAAATAAACCCCCTAACACGTGTGAAAAATCATTCAATTTTTCAATAAAATTTTAATTTTCTCAAAGTTCTGTGTTAGCTGAATCCAAATACTCTAGGTGTGGGACAAGCGTTGAAGACAATTTTAGGAAATCTTTCTTTCTATGCAAACATAAGGACTGAATAAACACTCTTAGTAATTCCTCTCATATTTATAATTCTTTTTTATTTATGTTCTGCGTGTGAAATTGAGGTTTGGAAAAATATGCCAATATCCAGATTTTCTTTTATTGTGTGATTATTTTAATATTTTGTGGTTCTATGTCTTTCTCATTATTCTTGCCACATTTTAGTTTTAACAAATTTAAATTATTGTTCATTAAGATTATGCATTTTCTGATTTTACATCAAAAGGAGAAAGTTTTCCTAAATGAAGAGTTGGCGGACTACGAATTTTGATCTTTAGCATGCTTCCTGCATATCACATCCAAGATTACATTAAAAAAACTCCACATCCTACAATGTTCCACTTCAAATAGGAAAACGAATCAAGAACACATGTAGCCAAAACTTTTATTTTAATCTTAAATATTTTACCATGATAATAATACAGATAAAACCATTTAAGATAAATATAAATTTAAATAGCATAATAGGTTGCATAAAGTGGAAAGCAGCCATGATCGAAGAACCAATTCTATTAAACTACTGAAGGCTAGAAAAAATATCCATATATTAATAATTTTAACTTCAATTCCAAATTACAATTTGTAATTACTAAGATCATCAACACTGCTACAACGACAACAACAACAAGAAGCCTTTATCCCACTAAGTAAGGTTGAATCCTCTTTCTCCATTGTGTCCTATTGAGTGTCATATTTTCATTCAATTCTAATAAATTAAGATCTATTTTTATATAACATGCCCAAGTAAATTTAGGTCTACCTCTACATTTCTTAACAAAAGTCGGACAAAAAACATCTACTCTACTAATTGGATCATCAGATGGTTGACTCAAGTAAATTTAGGTCTACCTCTACATTTCTTAACAAAAGTCGGACAAAAAACATCTACTCTACTAATTGGATCATCATATGGTTGACGTTTAATGTTACCAAACCATCTAAGATGATCTAATCTTGTCTGCACTGGAGCTACACAACTCCTTTTAATAAATTGATCAACTATCGTTACAACCCCGCCGCTATATCTATAATGCCCAAAATTTAAGAATTAGGTAAAAAATTAACAAATTTTAAATGTGGCACAAATTTTGAATCCCCTTAAAATTCAATCGAATTACTTTTATAAAATTCTATGCGTAAAATCGATCAATTCGATATAAAGTATTATAAATGGATTATGTTTGGAATGGGAGATATAAAATTCTTAAGTTACAAGTATAATTAAATTAATTAAACTGTGATCACATTCCTAATCCATTCCTAATTTCTTGCATCTCTCTTGTTCCCAGCCAACTTCTGTGCACTTAATCATGCATGCATCGGTTCAATTTGATCGAACAGCTGAGGAAAAGGGGGAGGGTTGGTTATATGCCGCACTCCCCATCTCCCTCTCCCTATTCTTGGTTTCCCGCACCTGGGAAGTTCCTACAATCTACTCTTGTAGCAGAGTTGTGATCATAGTGAAGTTTTGCAAGCCTCAGAGTGCCGCAGTTCTCGTCTAGAAGCTACGGGGAAGAATTGGTGAGTACGAAACCATTTTTCCCGCTAGTTGAAACATTCGTTTCCTTTCCCTCATTTCTGTTTTGATATTTGCCGCGAAATTTTACAATTAATCATCTTTGGAAGCCATAAAAGACGTCGAACTTGTGTCAAAAGCTTCAAATTGGGTTTGCAAGCTTTCATAAGGGCTATTTGCACGAAATCAACGAGTGAAAAAAAAAAATTGAAGTGTTAGGAAGAAAATTAAAGAAAAATAGACGGTATCGAAATGGCGGATTTTTGCTGAAACGCCCGTTTAAGGTATGTTTTGACAAATGGTTAGGTTTTGGGTTAAATCAAGAAACAAGCTACCATTCAATGAATTCCTATGACTCTCATGATTTTCAAATTGTATATACAAGGTGGAGAGCTCAAGACGAGCATTTGGGAACTCATTGCAGGGTTGTTTCATCTAATTAAGTGAAATAATCTCATGCTATTTTAAGAAAAAAAATTATTTGCAGGTTTCTTGTGATTCCACATTTGAAACTGATGCATTTAAATTTTTTGCATATTACAGATGGATATCTACATTAAATGTATGAATGCAAGTTGACTTCTCTTACAATACAAGTGATGTTATGTTATGCTATGATTCAGATGAATATACTTATGAAATCATTACTTACATATATTCATTTGTTATGATTCACAAACATGATATATAAAATGTCTGTGATAAATGTTTGATACAAGAATGATGATTTAAATGTCACAAGTGATATTATGCATAAACTATTACAAGAGTGTTTGCAAATACACTATGCATGAATGTGGTATTCCTGACTCCTGATGTTTAGACGGTGATGAAATTTTGGGAACCGTTGTGATTAGACAATGAGAATATAAAAAACATATTATATTAGAGAGCTATTGATAACAGCTAGGTTGAGGGGGAACCTTTGTCAATAGCTAACATGGTCTTTGGAGAATGAAGGACCCATTATATGACAAGACATGAAAACAGCTCAGGTTTATACATTTCTAAGTGATATTGTTATGAACAGGTTTATGATTCTTATGAGCATACTTCTGCTTACACAATTATGACAACACATGAATAAATAAAATATATGTTTAATGCATCAATCATAATTTTCTACACTACATATTTTTCTTTTACATGTACTATACAATTCTAGCATGTTATGAATTGAGTGTGGACATTTACAGTTAAATATGAGCATGCATGTTGTTTATCTTTCGTGTATAAAATCTTATTTCAACATTGATTATTTTGTTGAGTTTGTTGTTCCTCGCTCTGCGTTGTTTACTTATGAGAAAAGGTAAGAAGCACCGAGTTGAGCAGTCATGTGTAACTTGTACAACTTTTGCATTTATAGTTTTAAGAGAATGTACAACCTTTAGTTACATATTTTATCTAAGTTAGATTTAGCAGTTTTGTATAGATACATTTGTTCTGATGATATAGTTTACACACTTTCGAGTACAAGAGATAAAATTATGAAATGAAATGTATGTTTGCAACGATTTAATTAGACTAGTTCATCACCCATTAGATCGTGATTCTATAAATCGGACCGAGTATTTGTAAGAATTTAGTCGGGTCAAATTGTCTTGTATGTTTGCAACGATTTAATTAGACTAGTTCATCGCCCATTAGATCGTGATTCTATAAATCGGACCGAGTGTTTGTAAGAATTTAGTCGGGTCAAATTGTCTGCCTCTGTCGCACCTCAACCATAAGGGGAGCCAATTGGGGAATGACAATATATACAACTACTAAAGTTGAATTCAATGTATTCAATTTTAGATCCACTCAAAAGAAAACTTTTGGACTTCAAGTTGACCTCATAAGTCAAGTATTTCTTGAACTCCTCTAGTTTTATCCACAAGAAGGATATCATCAACAAAAAACATACACCAAGGTACATCCTGCTATAAATGTCCACTAATAACATCCATAACTAAAGCAAAAGAACAAGGGCTTAAAGCCGATCCCTGTGGCAATCAAACTAAAATAAGAAAATATTTTGTCAATCATCCTACTATTTGAGAACAAGTAACAACTATAATATACATATCTTTAATAACTTGAATACAAGTTATATCAACACCTTTCCTCGCCAAAACTCTCCAAAAAACTTATTTTGGAACTTTATCATAAGCTTTTTCTAAATCAAAAAAAATTATATGTTGGTCCTCCTTACTCTCTATGGACTTCTCAATCAAACCTCTAAATAAATGTATCGCTTCATGATAAACTTGTATGGCATAAACCCAAACTGATTTGAGAAATTTTGAATTATGCCTTAACTTATATTCAATTACTCTCTCCCATAGTTTTAATATATGACACATTAACTTAATTTCCCTAAAATTTGTATTCTTCGACATCCACTTTATTCTTGAAAATAGGGACCAAAATACTCTTCCTCCACTTCTTAGTCATCTTTTTAGTTTTTAAGATAATATGAAAAAAGTATAGTAATCCAAAAAAATTCCAAATCTCCTAAATATTTCCACACTTAGACTAGGATACAATCAAGTCATACTAATTTTCCACCCTTCATTTTCTCTAAAACCTCCTCAACAATTATTAAAAACATAAAATATCATTAAAATCTGTCAAATTTACCTTTAATGCTTAAAACTTAACACCCCTCAAAAAACAAAAAATCTACGAAACAGTAAAATGCAACTTTTCTACTTGACATATGTTGCAACAGAATAAGTGACTTTATAAACAATCCTTCATAAAAACAGTAGCTCAGCCTTCATCGAGACAATTTTCACCCCAACCAATTAAAATAATAGCACATATTTTGATAGTCAACTAGAAATAATAGATTTACAAGCACATGGGTTACTGCAAGCCTTAATTTCTAATATCTGAATTCAATATAACTCAGAAGTAAATGATTTGACCATCGACCAGAGAGATTGAAAAAATGTAAAAACCTTCTTCAAAAACTAGCACATGGGTAGAAAGCAGCCAAACCACTATTGCAGAAATAAGATCAAGTATGAGCACACTAGCACAAACACGTACAAACGAGTAAAGAAAGCACACAGTGATATCAGATAAATCCCAAAAATTGTAGAAAACTTTTTAGGTGATATCAATTTATACTCCAGTAACAAATGCTAGCTGTGCTTCTCACACATTCAGACCAAAATACAAAGAGAAGGGAAAGAAGAGGAGGGGGTGGTATGAGTGGGGTTAGGGAGAGATTTTATACATACTTGAGAAAGAAACCCTTCAAAAGACAAACCACCCAGTACATTCCTTTCAGCAGCATCCTTGTAGGGATATTCAGACCATGGGCTTTATCCAGAAAATAAAAAATAAATCAGCATCATTAAAATGTTCAATATTACAAGTAAAAAAAAAATAATGAGAAGTCAGAGCATGCAGAAATGATTTGCTCCAACCTGGGAAGTAGGAACATGATTCAATTCAGCTTACCACTCAACTCTCAAATGTCATGCCCAACAGCAGATACAACTAAAAATATGATAGAAGAAACAAATACACCTTATGAATTTCTGCATGCGTATATTAAGCAGCTGGTGTTTAACCATAAATGAAAGAAGCAAATCCATGTATGCATTATAGATTAGTTTTATGAAATCAACAAGGTCTAAGCATAAAGTAGAGAGCAAATATGGCTACTTTTGATTTGAAGGAGACATCATAACTTGAAGTGAGTAGAGAAACAGACTGCAATCGCTTGCTATGTAAGCACAATTTATCCACGTGTGAGGTTGTGGAATAATGAGTATTCTGTCAGGGGAAAAGCTTTGGCTTGAGTAGAGAAACAGACTGCAATCGCTTGCTATGTACGCACAATTTATCCACGTGTGAGCTTGTGGAATAATGAGTATTCTGTCAGGAGAAAAGCTTTGGCAAGGGTGATGCCTGCACAGGCATGGAAGAACCACCATCATGCAAAAGCAACCCTTTGGCTTGTCAACAAGACAGATATTGACCAAACATAAATAAGAAAAGGAATTTAAGAATTGAATCTCAACCCAGTAACGGAAAATAGTTTAGGCTGGGCCAATCTTTCAAAGAGAAATCGATGTTAACTTAGTTGAGCACGCCATGACAAACTCATGCTCGATGAAAGCCCACTAAATCAAGTTATGAAACAAATCTCATGCCACAATGATTCTAGCTAATCAGTATATGACAGATTAACTCAATAACCAGGCTGATTTATATAAAAAGCATCATTTGGCTGCATTTATAAACTCTAATTTTCATAGGGTATGCAAATTTCACCTGAGCAGCTAATCCCTCATTTTCTTCCATACAAAACCCCAACTTTCAAAAACAAAGTGTTAACCAAGTTTTACTAATCCTAAAGGATTCAATATTGCAATCAAAAGTTCTCTTCCTATTCTCTCTTCAAGGGGTTGCATCCCTATTTCCTATTCTTTTAAATCTCCTAAAATTCATCACTCCTTGTCCCTGTCAAAAATTTCACCCTAGTTGCTCAATCAAAGTTTCATTCAATTAACGAGGACCATACGCTAATGTACCAGTCTGCCTTTAAATGAAAGCATCCACTATGACAAGAATGGAACATCCATGCAATAGAACCAAGGTCTTGCCGCTTAAACTATGTTAGACTGGAGCAACCTCTACTAGATCACCATGCTGCTTATGTTCTCAAGAAGCATCACTCCATCGAATTATTCGAGCTTTCCACAACCGTTTGCTAAAAACCAGATCTTTACTACTTCCCTCAATCGGCTGTGACAAGAAAATTATTCTATTGATTGAGAAACTTAGAAAGCATGAAAACCACAGATGACACAATCCAGTAAACTTCACTAAATCTTCTTAAACTAACTCTGAAAAACTTAGAAGAACAAAGGATCTTATTCTTAGCCAGCCACCAAAAATCACATTTTTCTCCTTTCTTAATTCAAAGGGTTCACTTGAGCCATCTTTAACCACCAATGCCAGCTCACTTCATGCTCCTTCAACCAATTGTCTTCTTATGGTCCAATGCCTATGATTCCGTCCAAGACCTAATTGACTCAAACCAGGCATCAAATAAAATCATAAAGAACTAACTTGCCAACCAATCCAACTTGGATAGCAAGGTTCAAATCCAAGTTGATCCATCCAAACCAATTGGAGAACCAAGCCAGATATGCATGAATGTTTAGAAGGCACCCACATTAGCATAGAAAGGATGATCAATCTTATTCAACCCAACTAATTCATCTTTTATCATCAATAAATTGTCAAAAAATTCAAATTACTAAGCAAAATAATCAAGATGCACAATAAGTTAGGCCAGTCCTATGTAAAGAGTCCAGAAATTATTTGAATTTTGTGTGTATTTCATAACTCTTACCTATGGAAACTATTAATAACAAATTAATTACAAGAAAATAAACGTTCTGGTACAGAAGATACAGGATTAACCAATGTTCATATATTTGTGGCTATGGAAATAAGAAAGATATTCTATAAGTTGCACACATTTATTCCTCTAGAAATCTAACAGATATTTCCACTTCTTGCAAAACGCCCACAAAATGCCCCCTTATCTAAAATGATGGCTTTTAGATTTGCAAACCCACAATCTCCAAGTTAGTCTAAAACCTCCAACACTGCCCCTTAAGAAGTAGAGTAGATATTCTATATGTCTAAATTAGATTATGATATTTTGAAATGTAAAGCTTGATAGTCTCGCTTGGTTAACATTTCAGTCAACCAACTGCTTGTGTGCTTGGACATATGACATACATATCAACCCTTCGTAAGGTTTTTCTTTAATGAAATTTTGAGTAATTTATGTGTTTGTTTTATTAGTGTTGGACTGAATTGTGTGCAATGTGAAGGTTGATTAGTTGTCAGAATATAACTTCATAATATTTGCCATCATTCTCCCTTGCCCAAAATTTAGCTTCAGCATTAAATCTAGTAACTATCGACTACTTTCTTATCCAGGTGATTAAATTCTCAGCTAAAAAGATGTAATAACTAGAATTACACCTTTTAATTCTGTGAGATCCTACCCAATCAGCTTCTATGCAAGTTTTAAACAAAGTTTTCTACATCTTTTGAATGAGTTTCCTTTTCTTGATGCTACTTAGAGACATTGAAGAGTTTTATAAGCCGCTCGTAGATGTATTTCTTAAGATTATGCAAAAATTAACTAATAAAACTTACAACAAAAACTATATTTACTATTTTGTAGGAAAGATAATTTTCCAGGTCAATCTTTCATATTCTTTTTGTCAACTTCTAAGTTGCTGCCTACCTCTACAATTTTTTTGCAGAAGTAAATTAAAACTTCTGATAATTTGCATCCCATCATAATGTTTCACATAGTAGATCCAAGCTGGTTTTCTGCTGAGAGAGAAAGATCTCGACATTTGAGTGGATCACTTCAATTCTAAAATAATATTTGAGACTTCTCTACTTCAAAATTTTCGGATAGATAATCATTCACTTTTCTTTTTCTTTGAGACCATATTTTGCTACAATAATGTCATCCACATACATTATGAGAGCTATAACTTTGACCTCTTTGGATTTCTTTATAAATAAAGTGTAATGTTCGAGACTTCATTTGAAGATCATCTTTTTCATAGTTCAGGTAACCTTCAAGATACATTAAATTTAGGATTTGTTTAAGCCCGAATGAAGCTTTCTTCAACCTATATAGAAGCATAATATTGAAACTTGATTAAAACCTAGTGAAGGTTTCAAAGAGGCTTCTTCTAATTCTGTGTAGGAAAATTTTTTTTTTACTTCTAAGAGTTGCAAAAAAAAAAATAAAAAATTTAAATTTTTTAAAAAAAATCAGGCTAATTGTCATAGAAATATTTATATGCTGTTTAGCTTCACTTTCTCCATAATCAACTCCATAGTCCTAAATGTAGTTTAGCATATACTATTCAATAGTCTCTTTCGCATTGGATTTAAAAGTGATATGTTTCAAGTGATCCTTTCAATATATTATACCTTCACTGCATCGTGCATGGCCTTAATCGAATTAGGCTGGTTGAGCATGCCTTTGTTCAATGACGGACCTTTAACTCCTTCTAGAGCAAACATATAGTCATAGTTTAGGTGCACTGGAGAATGATTTGTTGGAATTGTTGTCTATTACTTATTTATGCAGAGAAGATTCGAGGTTTCTTGAAGCTACAAATTTGATGGGTGATAAGAAAATCAAAACTGAGAAAATCAGAACTCCCCCTTAAAACAACCTCCGCATAAAATCCATATTTTGACGAATATTACATCCCGATAGAAGAATTTCTTGGAATTGGGATAGTAGCATTTATACATTTTTTTAGTAGAGTAAGTATCCTACAAGAAGAATTTATGACTCTTAGATCAAGTTTAGTATTTGGATGGTTTTACAAATGTAAGAAACACTCCCAAAATTTTTTAGTAAAAGAAATTATTTTTTTATATCATGGATACATTTGATGAAGATTTCAACAGAGGTTTTATTCAAAGATAGTATTTCCACAAAATAGAGTCGAGTAATGAGAAATTATTATGAGGGTGAATCACAATATTTTTCAGTTTTAAACATCAAGTACAGTTTGTCCATTAAAAGGGATGCATCACATATTCTTTTTTAGTGAAAGAAATTATTTTTTTTATATCATGGATACATTTGATGAAGATTTCAATAGAGGTTTTATTCAAAGATAGTATTTCCACAAAATAGAGCGAGTAATGAGAAATGATTATGAGGGTGAATCACAATATTTTTCAGTTTTAAACATCAGGTAAAGTTTGTCCATTAAAAGGGATACATCAAATATTCGATGACAAAAGAATGGAATAGCGTGAGGGTTTAATTGATTCTAAATTACGAGATATTACACCGCCCAAAAAATAAGTTTTGTTAAGTTTGTCACATTATCACAATACCTTAGATGTCATGAACGATAATAACTTAAAAATAAAAGAATATTCAATTTTTCATGCAACATCTTTTATGACATGAAGCAAAGAAAATTACCAAAGATAACATAAGAATAATTTAAGTAGGCATGAGAAGAATATTCTGAAAAGTTGACACGTTTCGTAAGTCTGCCATATTCAAATTTTGTATATAGTTTGTGCCAATATATTAGATGAATAAATTAATAAATATATAATAACTAATCTCATAGTACACATCTACCATAAATCTAAATGTGAATCGAATGATTATTAAGTATACCAACAACTGTCAAGAGTAACATAAAATAATAATTTTATTATTAGATTTAAATTGCTACACAAGAATAGTAATGAGAAGTTAAAAATGAGTTGTGATTGCAATATATTTTTAA